TAACGTGGTGTGTTTCTGAGAAGAAAGAGTATTGTGTTTTTTAGCTGTGCTAGGCCGTGTAACTTTATTGAGTGAGGGCGTCTTTGTAGTGCATGTTGCGTTACTTGTATTTATTGCGTTTGTTTGTTCAGGAAGTTGTGTTTGTGTGGTTGGTTGAGTTAAAAGCGGAGATATTACAGTATGTTGTGTATCATGTTGTGAGTCTAAAGTGCTGTTTAGGCTTTTGGGTTTGAGTTGAATACTAATGGGTCGTGGTAATGTGGTTTGCTTCAGAGGTGAATCTCTGATTGTAGTATATGTTGTATCATTTGTTGTACTTGTTTGTTCGGTAAGTTGTATTTGTGTGTTTGTTTGGGTTAGAGGTGGAGATATTACAGTATGTTGTGTACCGTGTTGTGAGGGAGTGCTGTTGTTTACATGTATACGTTGTGGATCATTTCTGTATGTAGTATCTTGTGTTATGTTTAGAAATTTACGAACAATATGGCATGTGTTGATAATGACTGCTTTTTGTAAATGTTTGTATGTGTTTTTGTCTAAACCTAATAGTTGTAAATTGTGGTGTATTGTCTTTGGTATAACTCCGGTAGCACTAAGAATAATGGGAACTATAACAGTAGATTTCATTCTCCATTGCGTCTTAAGCTCGATAGCTATATCGGTGTATTTGCAGTGTTTTTCTGCATGTGTTTTAGTTAAGTTGTTAGTGTTGGGTATGGCAATGTCTATAATACAAATGGATTTTTGCGTTTTATCTATAAGTGTAATATCTGGTCTATTATTGTGGATAGTTTTGTCTGTGAGTAGTGTCCTGTCCCAATATAATTTGTGTGTGTTGTTTTCGAGTATGATCTGTGGCGTGTATTTGTAGTATGGTGTCGTATCTGTTATGAGATTGTGTTTAAGTGCTAATTTTTGATGTATGATTTTAGCTACCTGATCGTGTCGATGTTTGTATTCAGTTTGTGCAAGTCGTGTGCATGCCGATATTATATGTTGGATTGTTTCTGATGTTTGTGAACAGAGTCGACAAGAATCGTTTGTCACTGTTTTGTCTTTATGTATGTGTTTTTTATAGTTGCGTGTATTAATGACCTGGTCTTGTATTGCTAACATGAAACCCTCCGTTCCGGGAAGATATCACATTCAGACAACCAAGTGTGCGTTGCTATAGAATCAACACAATCCTGACTAACCTCTTGTGGAAATCGTCCATGCAACGGCTTTTGGTTCCATGTCTGTATGTTATTTGTGATGTATGTAAGTTTGGATGGAGGTGGGAGTATATTAGTTTCGTGTAGGTTAAGTGGCGTATAAGATTTGTCTGCATATGTTACTGTTTTGTGTAGGACTGAAGTATCTGTTTTGTTATAAAAGTATTGTCGCAAATTGTGTATTTGTGTTTGGTGCAATAGTTTTATATCTGTAAGTCCTCTACCTCCTTCCGAACGAGGAAGGTAAAGTCGTATAGTAGAGGAGTGAGGGTGATGTATATGGTGTCTTGTTAATAGTGTACGTGTGTTTCTCTGTATTTGTTCTAAATCTGTATTTGTCCAACGTATAATCCCAAAAGAGTATGTAAGCACTGGTGTGGCATAAGTGTTAATAGCCTTGATTGTATTTCTACCGTGTAATTTTGTTTTAAGTATACTGCGTACTCTTTGTAGGTATTGTGTAATAAGTGTTTGTTTTATACTCGTATGTTTAATGTGTGTGTTTTGCTGAAAACCAAGATACTTATAAGTTTCATTCTCGTCCATGGAATTTATTAAATTACCCTGTTCTAGCTCATAATCTATAAGTTCTCTTTTACCAGCTGTGATGTGTTGTGTTTTACATTTATCGATTCCAAAGTCCATTTGTATGTCACGTGAGAATGTTTCGGTAATGTGTAGAAGGTGATTAAGTTTTATGCTTGTGGAAGAGTATAATTTAAGATCGTCCATGTAAAACAGGTGTGTAATGTTGTGATGTATTTCGTGGCTGTGTTTAATATTGTACCCAAAGTTAGTAGTGTTTAACAAATATGAAAGTGGATTAAGAGCAAGACAAAACCAGAGCGGACTTAAAGAATCGCCTTGAAAAATTCCTCTTTTAATTTGTATTGGGTCGGTAATAAGTTTTGTGTCGTTTAGTGTAAGTGTTAACGTAGTGTTCCAACATGACATTATGTAATTGAGGAATTGTGTAATATTGTTGCTGACCTTGTATATTGAGAGTACTTGTTGTAACCAAGAGTGTGGTACTGAATCGAATGCTTTTTGTAATCAATGTATGCAGTGTGTATGTTTCGTTTGTTATGTCTGGATTGTTCAAGTATAACAGAGTCTATAATGAGTTGCTCTTTACAGCCTCTGGAATACTTGGTACACCCTTTTTGTTCTTCGTATAAAATGTTGTTATCAGTACAGTGTTGGTATATTAT